ATTAGCGCTGGATGTGATGGACTCGGAGATTATGGATTAGTCTGGGAGTCTGATAACGGTATTACGAATCCGTATCAAAGTTTTGGGTTTTACAGAGATTTTGGGAGTTATAACAATTATAATGGCCATGGTGATTTTAATTATTATAGAGTTCCAGTGTATCAATCAAAAAGATTTTTAATTTAATTTCTATAAATAACATTTGTAATTGATCTATTAAAACTACTAAATTAATAAACAATATTTAAATCATTATAACGTTTATTTGAATGCATAAAATATAATGAAATTGACACAATATAATAAAAACGGCTAAAATATACATTAATATTCAATTATATTTTTCCAATAATGAAGGTGCTTTATTGTTTAACTCTTGCCATTATCTGATCCACTCTTGGATACATCACTCCTGGAGAAGTAGGGATAATATCCGGACCCCCCATAACCACCATATCCTGATGAATAGGGATATCTTCCATAATAACCTGATATTTGCAATTTTAGTGAAACTTTTAAATAATGAGTTAATTATATTAAATAATTAGAAAATTATCTCATTAAATAAAAATTTAACCAAGCTTGTAATTAAAATGATATATTATTTACCTCCGTATCCGCCATATCCACCGCCGTATCCGCCATAACCCCCACCATAACCCCCGAGACCCAAACCATAGCCATAATATGGACTAAATTGTATAATATAAGTACAATTAAGTAAATAATTTATAAATTAAAATACCTGGTAAAAGGATTATATCCCATCCCGTAGTAAGGCGTGAATCCATAAGTTTGTGCCGAAACTATCGTAAGTGTTGTAATCGTAAGCAACTAATTAAATGACAAATCAATGGGTATTTAATTAAAAATATTCTTATAATTAAATACAAACTTTTAAATTTCTTACCAAAATTAAAATTTTCATTTTGACGATTAAATGTTGCAAAAACAGAAATGTAAAACAATTTGAGCGATTAAATCAATGAAAGTAAAACTCGTGAAATGAATTCAAATCATACTCTTATATAACTTACGATTATTGAATGCTTTGTCATTGTGTTTATAATTTTAATAAATATTGACTCAATAATAATATAATTTATACATATTTTCATATAATGTATACCATGTTCTTAATTTCCATTACATTTATGTAATTTTTAAAGAATCTAATTATTTAATTAGATTTGTGTGTAATTATTAAAAGAATTTATTTTATTAATAAAAATAAGCTTAAAATAATTTACAACTATTTTATAATAATTTAATAATTTATAATAAAATTAAATGCATTAATATAAAATAAAATAACTTTTATTTATTTGATAAATGCCGTAATAATGAAGACGGTTTTGCAATTAATGAATAGAAATTGATTGCTTGAAAATTAAATTAGAAAATATTAAACATAGAGATGAATATGTGATTAAAACGGGGATATAAAGTGATATCCATATGAATGAAAATACGGGAAATGGTGTTGAATATGGGACCCGAAAGCCCACTGCCGTCCCACTGGAAATCCTCGCAATAATAACCCCTCTCTGAAAGCTAACGGTCCGCTTATATCATAAATTGGTCCCAAAAATGTTGCATCGTTTCCAATGAATAAACTAATTATGATTGAAACCACAAATACACCATTTAATATCTACCAAAACAAATATCAATGTTAACATCATGTTGATTATGCATAAAACTTATAAGTTAACACATCTTTACCTCAAGTGACTTCATACCACCGTTTTGTTGCCAAATAGTTGTTTTGTGTTGCTTTCAAAGTGTGAAATACAAAACTAAATATCAAACATTTTGTAATATTGTATTTATATATCATTCACAGTATATTTATGGCAAAAGTATTGACTTTATTTATTTCTAATTATAATATCCTTTTACTTTTATTTCCAAAAAATACTAATAAATAATTAATATTTGTAACGGATATTAATATATTTAGTTAATTATTTCCAATGAATATGCGTTAAAATAGTTTAAATTTACATATGTCAAATTTATATATAACAAATAATAGTTTATTATTCAAAAATTTGGTATATTATAATTTATTTGACTTGTAAAGTTGTATAGCTTTATATAAGCTGTAAGAATGTTGTAATAAATGACAAGATTTCATAAAAACAAGGTTCGCACAGCGATGCTATACGTCAACTACAATTCGGATGACGCTTAACGAATCCCATTAGCTCATAGAAAAAGTATTACCCTAGAAAGGTACTTATAGATTTAACATTACCATTACTTATATATTTAAGACTTATCATATAAACCACATTATTCGTAGTTGAATTGTGGTAAAAAATATTATGAAAACATTGATTATAAATTAATTAACCATAAAACATAGTTAACCCATTTTAAGAACAGAACTGGGATATTAATATGTACTTGTTCATTTATTTATATTTTTTACAATTATTTACTGACGGAAGCTTCAGTTATAATAACGTAATATTTAATATTTTTATAAATGTAATAATTTTATCATGTTTCAATAAGCTAATTCATCATATCTTGTTTTTTATTTTATTCAAATTTTTCAAAATGATAAAAATAAAAACTTCAAAATTTGTAATAAAAAGCCAATGTATTTGGATGAGTGACAATTTATGTATTTACAATCACATCATTCAAATTCATTTTATTATGAAAATTAAAGTTTTTAATAAACATAGAAATAGTTATAAACAAATTGATAACACAATTGAAAGTAAAATACAGTCAATAATAAGTATATTTTGTTTATCATATTGTATTTAAATAAATGAAAACATATCTATAGATTGACTTAAATTTGATATTTGGGTCATTTATTGCATTCATGTATTCAATTATGGGTATAATGTGTCACACAATAGGATCTATTCTAATAAACATCATATACTCGTAAATGTATAGTAACTCCGAACCAGTATTTCATGTAATAATTTGATAACAAATCTAATTATGACAGTATTTTTGGGGTAATTAATAGTGAATTATTCAAAAGCCTAAATAAAAACACATTAAGTGTTGTTTCCAATAATGAACGACAAGTAAAAACAAATAAATGATAAATAAATAATTGATTTCATTATAAAAGTTATGATTTATAGCCAGAACTGAAAGGACTGAAACTATACGGTCGGTTATAATATGGGTTCATATTATAATTATATCCTGAATTAAAACCAGAACCAGAATTGTATGGATAAAGACTGCTTCCATAACCTGAAGAACCAGAACCACCAAAATATCCAAAATTATTTTGAGGATAAGCATAGGAAGCGGATGAGCCGTAACCAGAAGTGCCTTCAATGGTATATATTTTGGGAAAAAGCAATTTAAGCATAAAAGAAGATAATGTAATGTTTATTTACCGAATCCATAAAATGGTCGATTTACAACTGTTGATCCATATCCTGTTGATCCATATCCCGTTGATCCATAGCCTCCATATCCGTACCCATAATTACTGTATGGATTATAATCAGGTCTATAACCGTATGGATTACCGCCGCTTCCATACTGAGGATAACCACTAGTTTTGAGAAAACTTGAAGAAACGGTTGATATATAAAGAATAGACACAAACAATGGAATTGCCTTTAAATAAAAACAAATTTAAGTAAAACATATGATTATATGAAGACTACTGAGGATTAAAATGCAAAAACTTATTACCAAATTCATTGCAATCGCTTTCACTACAAAAAATAACTTTCACTTTAAAGCTCTTTATTTAGTAAAGCATTTGTCGATTTGAAAGCCTTTATAACAAACATTTTTATAACAATAATGTGTGTAAATAATACGAATTTAGGCCGTCGTTAGCCAACAAATAGACATATTTTTAAATATAATAGGAATTGATTTTT